CACTAAATTAGAAAATCATATTCTAAAATGATCTTTGTGTCATTTTATGAATTTGATTGGCCATATAACATTTTTTTTACAGTAGCATCATTTAATATTTTATTTTTTATTCGATATTAAATGATATTTTATTAGCTAATATAAGATGTCTACTTTAAATGATCCTATTTGATCTCTTACAATAAGCTATTATAAAAAAGGCAAATAATAACTAACTTCTTTTAATTAATAAATAAATTTTGTTGTGATTAAATTTGATTAGTCAATTACATATGATTTTTGTATAACCAAATAATCTAGAATCATGTGATCAATATTTTTTTACCATACTAGATGTGATCTATACTATCTATATTTGGCAAAATCTCTGACTGTATTGGAACTCTTGCTTTGGGCTCTGGTAATAATAATAGTATAAGTTCATATAATCCTATCTTGTATAATGCCAATTAATACTTTCAAACTTTGACAATAGTTGAATCAAATTTAACCCAAGTTATCAATACATCTTTAAATATGTTATTGGAAGTTGTCATATCAGTAGATACTTTTGCTAATAAAAAATCTTTGGTTACAACTATAATCACGTCACCAATAAAAAATCCTCAAAATCTTGTATATGGAAAATCACCATATATTTATGCAACTTTGATTAATTATACAATTGCAAATTCTCCTAATAAAAAACTCACATTAAATAAAATTTACAATTGGATTATGGAGAATTATCCTTATTATAAGACTGCTAGTGCTGGCTAGAAAGTATATATTTTTTATTAAGATTAATATAACTTTATATGCTATTCTATTTGTTACAAATACTAATAAATAAAATTTTTAAAATTTTATAGAATTTAATTTGTCTTTAAATAAAAGATTTGTCAGTGTTTCACATCAAAATTTATGTAGAGGATCATACTGGACTTTAAACTTTAGTGTTGTTGAAACTGAACCATGTCATAACAAAAGATCTTTGAGTATTGGTTGCAGTATGCTGAGCATGCTATACTGACTAGTGTATTCTATGGAACAACATTACCTTTTAGCATAAGGGCTTGGAGGTAATATAAGCATCTCAACAAACAATATCTTATACCAGTACTAGCATTAGTAATATTGCTGCTTATGATACTAATAGCTATGTTCATGTGGATGGGAATAATGCTACTACTTTTAGCTAATATAGTATACATCAAATTTATTATTTACAATTAGTTAAATAATTGAGGATTAAATAATTATAAAGAATTTATAACTAATAATTATAAAAATTTTATAACTTTTAATAAACTAAAAATATTTATTTTTTCTTTTATTCAGTATAAACCGTGTATACTTTGTATATTTGATGAAGTGTTTTTTAATTTTTTTAGCATATTTATTATATTTATTAAATTATATAGTAATTAAGGGTAGGGTATGTAGATCATTTTTTAATAGTAATCATGTTGTAGATCATATGATATTATGTGATTAACCAATCAGAATTATAAAAATCATAAATTCAACCAATCAGAATTAGCAATTTTTGTACTACCTCAGAAAATTTGAGTTAATTTCAGAAAACATTATGACATAAACAAGTATATTTTTCTAGAATAGTATTGCCTTTAAAAATTTTGCCACAATTAATAGAGGTTTTGATTTATATGTTATGAGATTTTGATAAAATATAACTGCGGATTCGAAGATTTTGTTAATAGCATATTTTGTGTAATCTATGTAAAATTTTGATATACCATGCAGATCATATAAAAAATTATGAATATACCCCTACTCTTAAAATTAAAAAAATAGACTTATACTCTGTTTAAGTCATTAACTA